ATATTATGGGTTCGGAACATAAAAATCAGGCTTTTTCTACACTTTTAAAGACAAAATTGATATCACCTTGTCATGGTGAATGTTAAAGACTAAAAAATGTTATTTTTGATATTGTTTTTAGGCATAAATTGGCCAAAAATATTCAAAATAAAACTCCTCCTGTGCTACATGATGGTCTAAAAATTTATTCCATGGAAGAATTCTAGTATTTATGGCAATCTTCACATCTGAATATTCTGATGAAATTGTCCATGAATTATACTGCAACACCTTTGAAGTACATGTATATGTATATAAACATACTTCAGACCATGTTGCAACTAAACCAATTAAAAGCCTATGAATTTGACCTCATGCTGATTTAGTTATTCCAACATGTAGTAACTTCTAGACATCTTTGTAGCAAAATATCTTTATTCAGTTATGGCTGGTGACTGTCATTATACATGTATGCCATTTTTTGAGTGAAATGTTGTAGGCATTGCATTCACGAAGCTGCTGTTTTAATAATTAAATGATTTCTTTACTGCGAAGAGTAGAAATGCTATCTTTAAAGAAATGTTTGTTTGCCCTCTCTTGACTCAGGGTAAAATTATTGGGTCAATAGATGAAAAAATCTTCAACAACATTTTTTTAGGGGGATGAGGAATAAAAAGAAAAAAAATACGGCCCTGCATTGAAAAAAAAGTTTTCAGTCTGGTCATTTTAGTCAGTCGGTCTGGAGAGGCCGACAACCAAACATATTTTAAAGATGGCCTATTCTACACTTCATGGACATTAGCTCAGTCATTGGATTAGTAGTCTGAGAATCTAAATTGAAATATCAGACAGAACAAAAAAAAATGAATTCTAAGTGACATCAATTCATACTTTAATGAATATACAGAGTACTTCTGATTTCAGAGAAAGGGCAAATTCTGCAAAATGACATAACACTGTAAATATTTGTCAAGAACAGGGAAAAAGAAACAATGCTACAGTGATAGATATATCTCCTTGATATCCATGAAATAATAATATAAATATAAAAAAATTTTTCTCCTTTTTTAAAATCAAAATACAGAAAAAAATTAAAAGATTTTAAATGTAAACAATTTTAAAATAAACTACATGTATTTGTGAAAGATTTTAATTTTAGTAGATTACTAAACTGGTCTTATCATTCCTACTAAATTAGACTGGTCAATTTCCAAGTGTCATGTTTTAAACTGTTACAGTAGATATAATTATACATGTTCACTGCAGCTTTATGTACAAAACTCATCAGTTTTCAGAAATACTTATTTGAGCTTATTAGGTCCTGGTAAGAACAAAATTTAATGAAGAAAAAATATTAATCTTAAATGTTCATGTATTAATTTCCTTGCAATTTTACAAACCCTTTTAAGAAACTTGTTACATGTAAGTAGAGACAAAAGCAACCTTCAATTAATACCTATGATGTATACATTTATTTTACTGAAAACAAATTCAAAGATAGACAAACAGAGCAAGGAATTGCACTGAGTTTCATTTAACTCAATGAAATGAATAAATTTGCAATATAATCAATGAAGAATCAATATGAAATCATTGTAAAATTTACAGATTGAATTAGTGAAATGCAAATACTTGATCAAGAAAATTAATGTTCTTGTCATGCACAATCTGTATCTCTTTTTTATTAATTAGAAATGAGATATTAATTAAAATCATACCTCATTTAAAAAGGTAACTTGAACAATTGAATACCTGTTCCAATAATGTTACAAATATTAGGCCTAAAAAGCAAGGATTTTTTTTCATAATTTCTTGAATGAATGCATTTTTATTTTTGGGCAATGTTGGGATATTAGTCACATCCTGACATCCTTGTACTGTTTATTCATCGTTTTTAAATCCGTAGTCAGTAGATCATTCATAACTTTCAGTAAAATGAATAGTTAAATAATTACCTGATGAAAATACTATCAACAATCAAACTGTCAACATCATCATTGGACTTTGTCAAATGCACCGTGACTTTTCTTCCCTGTTCGGACTGCATATAGCATAATACTTTACAGGATACTCTCACGTCTTTTCTTTTTTTTCCCATTCTCACTTAAAATTTTAGTGTAGTGGTGAAGCGAGAAATACACAACAGCACAATGCGTCAATGACTTTCTTCTGATCGGAATGATCATGCAACTTGCCACGTTCCGTATCGAAAATAAACAAGTCCTCCTTTATTGGTTCATCCATATGCATCACGCTAATCTCAAATGCTTCTAAGATTCCTATGCTTTGTTTTGTTATAAGACTTTCTCCTGAAAAACGTCCTTTGTTTTTAGTCCTAAAAATAAGTGACAACAAACATCAAGTATGACAGAGGAAATTCGTTTCCGAGATGCTTAGCATCGCTGGTTTAAAGTCGCCTGTTTCAAACGCTTTGGTGATTCGCAAGAGTTATCTCCCTGTTAACGCAAACCTTACCTTAAATTCGCCCCGTTTTAAATTCGCCCATTTCCGACTAGGGCTAAAGGGGTAAAAATAAAACGGGGCCGAAAAATTCCCTGTATACAGTATATATTCTCTCAGCTAGTGTACAATGAGTGAAGAACCATCATTATGGATTTTTATACTTGAATTGCTTTAGATCTACTGTAAATGTATTACATTTGGCGTGTACCATATTTGGAGGAATTTCAATTTTCAGCAAGTTAGCGTAGATTTGATTTAGTGAATTTGCTATTTATTAAAGAAAATATACAAGACATTTAAAGAATTTCAATTGAGTTAGTGGACTCTGCTTTCCGCCAAAATCGCTAAATAGAATACACTGCTAAATGTAATACTTTTACAGTATCAGGTGATTATGTTGAATTTTGATTGTACTAAATAAATTAATATTTGTTATTATTAAAAACTAAGGGCTATCACTGTTCTCACAGATCTACTTAGTGGACGCCGGCGATGCTACTGGGTCACACCTGTTCATTACAGAGGACGGAGGTGACAATTTTTACGAGTCCGCACTTCCTTTCCAACTGACCGGGGAAATCTTGTTCCACCCAAACAAGGCATATGAAAATTATCTGCTAGCTTCATCTGCTCTCCTGTCAACAAAGGTAGGAAATGACAAGATAGTGTATAATAACGGGGAGGATCATTCGGTGGTGTAATAACCCACCAGAAATACACTGAGAACAATCTATCGTGCAACTTTATTCAGCACCTAATTTTCACTGTGTTTTATTATTTTACCCATTCTTTCTACAAAACTTAATTAACTATAGTTTCTTTTAATGGAAATGCTAACATCCATCATGCATTCTTTGTCACAGATTAAAAGTGGTAATAAGAATTTGATGGTAGGTATGAATGCTTTTTATTCCTTTGTCATGTCCTTTCTGTTGTAAAGCTTAGCTCATGTAGCTAGCTCATTGTGTCGTCATTGTCATTGTCACATATATATATATATATAGAGCTGCACTAAAAAAAAACTTTCAATGAATGCTCCCCTCACAAAAGAAGAACAACAATGAATTCAGTAATAGAGGCATGTCCATGTTTAAATACCCCAAAAGAACCCTAGTGAATTCATTATTAGAGGCAAGTAACCCTAAAGAGCCCCTTTTCCTTCCAGTCTTGCAGAATCCTCAGGGGCAAGTGATTTAATTAATAGTAAGCCTTGGAAATAGGGGTAAAATTTTAACCAAAAAACAAACCCAGCGGACCACTTAATAATTGCAAATAATGTGCATGGGAAGGGGGAGTGGAATAGTTCATAAAGCAAAGCAAAGCAAGCTCAGAGGGATGTTAAGTCTTGAATTTTGTTGAATTGTGTAAGAAAATTTAAACACTAAAATGAATGTGAATTGGAGTTATGAAGATGTCAGTTGTTCTGGTTAAGTACCTGTGACTGAAAGTTTAATGGGCTCTGAATTCTTTTGGATCAACATCCTGCAGGGTGGTATTAAAAAGGAAGAACTTTGCATGTCAAGATCTCAAAAAGGTCTCATCACTAATCTAGGGAATGTGGCATATATTGAAAATAACAATTAATCTGGGTACAAATACTAATAATGAAAAAAAAATCTTGGGCAACAGCTGATATGGATTTGGGTGAACAGAATTAAGAGAGTATGTTTTATTCACTCATTTATAAAAGTTAATACAGCCATGATTATGGGTATTTTGAGTTAAATATATTAACAACAGAATTAAGCATGCGACAAGTTTTAAGGAATGTGTCTTTGGTTATTTGAATTATGTGCAAAGAGATATAAATGGCAAGAACTTTTTATGCCCAGAGATTGAAGATCAGGGGCATGCTTTTGTCTTTATATGTAAGTATTCACAAGTCAGTTAATATATAATATATATATATATATATAATTATGAATTTAACAGTTCCATGCTGTTTACATACTAGATTTAATCCATTGGTGCACTTTGTCAATATCCGCACAGATGTCTGCTTAGATATATGAAAACATTCTGCATGATTCAGCTTACAGTGGTGTGTGATGATTAAGTTTAGAATCATAACTCATCTCCATAAAAGGATTGTTACCCCCCCCCCCCCTTCAATATTTTTTGTGAAATTTCTGATACATGCCAATTAAAAATGATTCTTTATGCAATGTGTAAACTTGTCACTTCCAGCTATGAAATATTAGTCTTAAACTTAAAAATTTTCAGTGTTCAATATAATTTTTTTAAAGTCAAAGATGTGTCATAATCCCTTCACCAATCCTGGTTATGCATCCCCCAAAACTGAACCTCAAAAATCGCCATTTCCATCTGTGAAAAAAAGCTTCACACAATTTTTAGCAGTTTTATTTTTGAATTATATAATGCACTGAAAAATGTAATGGATAGTTCTGGGGTACCTTAGGGGGGGTTAATCACTCAGTTCAGGAGAGTGACTGAATACCAAGGTCCAGGATGATCTTGGAATGTTGTTGACATTCTGTTGTAGACTTTACTAATGGGCATCTTTACCATGGTGATGTTTTTTCCATTTCAGAATTATACGCCAGTTTTGATAATGGTAGGACCTGGAGGATGGTCGACACTTATGTACAGACCTATAAATGGTAAAAATTCACCACAGTGGTAATCTATGGTAATCGTGGTAGGAACTTATAATTATCAGACGAGTAAATGGAAAAGAAATAAAAATTCACAAAATTTGTTTAACTAATAAGTAAAACAATACTTCATACAAGACTTTATATTTTAAGATCCTTTTGCCATAAAAAGGCATAATATATATATTTTTTTTTTTTTTTTTTTTTTTTTTTTTATTGACTTTCACAAGTACACAAAGCAGACTATACATATATATATAAGCAACATATAAACACATATACACATAATTTCTTGATAATTTCATTAGTTTACAGCAGTACAAAGTTTACTTGTATACGTGAAACTTATTTTTTTTTTTAAAAAAAAAAAAAAGGGGGGGGGGGTAGCATGAAAAAATGCATTCAAATGTTTATAATTACTAATGTAAATTTTAAAATTAGCATATAATAACGTTTTACCATAAAAACAAATGTTTTTTTTTCAAAGAACATCACAGATTTTTTGCCAGTGCCTTTCATATTAATTTTTTGCAACTTTGTAATAACAACACCTTTTCTATAAAAATTCTCTCTATAATCCTCTTTATTAGGATGTCGATATTTAGTTTTGGAATATTTTTATTTCTTGCAAAAATAAATTGTTTTACAGTAAGTATAATCAAGTTTTGTATTTTACAAATTTTCCTTTTCTCGTATTTTCCAAAAATATTGACATTTTATAAAACTACAATGCATTCAAATTTGTCCAAAACCCATTCTTCAATCCTACACCATAAATCTTTTACTTTAAACATTCTACAAACAAGTGGTCAATTTTTTCTAAGTCACTTAAACAAAAAGTCAATGGTAGTTATACTTAATTTAAAAAGATAATAATTTGTTGGAATAATTCTGTGTAATATTTAAAATTTGGGAGCCAGTGAAATTTGGATTCCTGAGTAACTTTGAAAGGAAGTTCAAATATTTTATTCCAATCTGCTTCATCAAAGAAAACATTATTTTCTTTCCATTTTAAAAGAAACTGATTGGCTCTCTCTTGTTATTTATAAATATTTTATACTTTCTTTACACCCTTTATTACTTCTATAAAAAATGAAAGTTGAATGTGGAATATTTGGTCCAATAACCTTTAATCTTTTTATGTCCTCTATTCCTGCATACTTAGCTTTTTAAATAGCCCTTTAAGACCATTTTTCAACAAAATTTTTTTCCTTTCAAGTTTACTATGGTATGAAGCTTAAAAAGTTACCATTTATAAAAAGGTCATTTAAAAAGCAAAGCCTTCCTCAAAATGCTTTTCCAGAAAAAAGATTTTCCATTAATCAATATATATGGGTTTTTCCCATATATGTTCTAATAACACATGTTTGTTTTCTTGGTTTATATTTATAAGTTTACCCAGGAATTAAGGACTCTTTAAAAATTTTTTTAAATTTTTGTTAAGTTTAAAATGTAATCCGACCCCCTTTATCCACATGTTTTCAATGTCTGTTTTTAGTTCAGCTTTAAACAACTTTACCCTTTTTGCATCTGAATGAATGAGTCTTCTAACCCAACTTGTTAAAAGTGCAGAAATAAATTTGTGAAATCTCCATTTTCAGCCCTCCATATTTATAGTCCTGAATTATAACATTTTTCTTTTTTTTATTTTTTTATTTCCATAAAAAAAGAAACAACTCTGTTAAATTTTTTTAGAAATTCGGGTTTAGGTTTGGTAGTGTAAAATCAGATGATTTAGTTTTGGTATTATAAGAGTTTTAATTATTTTAAATTCCAATTGGGGTAAGTTTCCTCATACTCCAACTACATAGGAGTTTTTTAATATCATTTAATTTTGACATGTAATTTAATTCAAGCATTTCCTCCAGATTAACTAAAAATTTTTATTCCTAGCAAATCAAAGTTTGAATTACCCCAATAAGCTTCCATCGAAAGGGTGAAAAACTTCCTTGGAATATTTCTTATTTCCCAACCCAAACCATTTTTGTTTTTAAAATTTAATTTTTTAAAACCCGGGAAAATTTTAAAATAATCGAGTTCTCTTAAATACCATATTGAGGTAGGTGAACCATCTGAAATAAGGGATGTATCATCAGCATATTGTGAAAGTTTATATTTTTCGCCTTCGATTGTTATGCCTTTAATGCTTTATTTTTCGAATAAGAATTCCAAGTTTTTCTGCACATAACAAAAAGAGATATGGTAAAGGGGTTGTCTACAGCCTTTTTGAAAAATTTAGTCTGAGATAATACCATTTTGTATTACACATGATTTAATACCACTGTAGAAATCTCAATCCTTTTTTTAATGGGGGGCCCAAAGTTGAAAAAGCCCAATGTTTGATATATAAATTTCCATGAAATTGTATCAAATGCTTTTTCAAAGTCTATAAGCATTAGTAAACCGGGTATTGGTTTAATTTGTATAATGCATCAAATGATTTTTCTAATATTCTCCCCTATGAATTTCCCTTTTTATAAATCCAGTTTGATTTATTGATTAATTTATCTAATTTTTTTTCATTCGTTCAGCAATACAACCTGAAGCTATTTTATAAACAACATTTGTAAAATTCCCCCAGTTTTTTCTGATTTTTTTTTCCTGATTTTGGAATACAAGTTAAAATTTCCCAAGTTTATTTGACTCTGTAAAATGTTTAATCATAAGAATTGTTTATTGCTCTTGTAATAAAAGAACCTATATTTTCCAAAATAATTTAAAAACTCGCAAGTAAATCCATCCCGGGCTCTTCTCATTTTTCATTTGTTTTGGGAAAATTTAAAAAACTTCAAATTTGTCACTGGACCTTCAAAATTTTTGATTCTTCTTTACTTAACTTTGGGGAAAATTTTTATAGGTTTTTAATTTTTATGAAATTTTCAGATTCAACATTTTCCCTTTTTTTATACAAACTTTCATAAAAAAAACCTTAAGTTTTGTTTCCTCTAAAATATCTTTCTGAGAGAAACAAATGATCCATCATCTCTTTCTATTTTTTGGGAAATTTTCTTACTGACATAGTTTCTTGATTTAAACTAATAAAGTATTTTGATGGTTTTTTCCCTTCCCAATCCATTTAACCTTTGACCTGATACATTGTCCTTTAAACCTTTTTTTTCTTATTTCTTCTATTTCTGTTTGTTTTTTTGAAAGTTCATTTATTGACTGTTCTGTTAAATTTTGTTCTAATTCAAATATTTCTTTTTCTAATTGTTTTTCTTTCATTTGTTTCCTTCTTTTTTAAGTGGAATAAGAAATTTACTTTCCTCTTTTCTCCATTAGTAAAATATCAAGAAAAAGTTGATCACTAATAGTAAATTGAATATCATCATTACCTAACAATAAGTCTTTCCAATTGTAAACAGGGCAGACATACTGAACTTTTCCCCTTTAATTTTTATTTTTTTTTTAACAAATTCCTTATCATTAGTAAAGAGTTATTAAATTTCCAGAATCCTCTTCCTTTTATGAACTCATTTAATTTTAAAAACACCACTGGTGAATGATGAAAGATAACTATTTGAAGTTACAAAAGGAGTATGGTAAACAAAGATTCCGAATTTGAAAAAGTCAAGCCTAGCTTTTTTTGGGTTTTTGTCCATTAAATCTTTTTAAATTTTGGGTTATTTTCCATTACTCCTTTATTTAGAGCATCCATAAATTTTAAAACTTCATCTGTTTTTATTTAAATTTTTGTAATTTGTTGAATCTAACTCTTTATCAAAAATTAAATTGAAGTCACCCTAAAAATGTTTTGAGAACTGTTTATCTCCTCTATTGTTTAAGTAAAATTAAAAAAAAATTGGGTCTACAAATTTGGACCGTATATATTTTTCAATAAAAAAAGGGATGTCTTCAATGATGACATCTAAAATAAGATAATTTCCCTCATTTCCTTTAAAATCGTTGTATATTTTTACTTCACAATTGTTATTAAATAAGATGGAACTCCTCTTGAATTCGATTTAAAAGAACTAAAAAAAACTTTATACCCCCCCTGTGTTTTATCATGTTCTATCTTTTTTCCCTAAAATGTGTATCTTTAAGAAAATAAACATTATATTTCTTAGCTTTTTGATTTTTGAAAACATCACCTCTTTTTTCTATACCCCCAGGCCTTGGCAGTTTACTGACAGTTTTTTTTGTTATTTTCACTATGTCCCATAAATGCTATATATATATGAATAATGCTGACCCCCCGTTGTCAAAAACAAAAATTGCAAAAAAAAAATTGAAAAAAGTATGGGAAAAAAAAACATGCCTCTTTTGTTGATAATTTGGAGGGGGGTTTTCCAAAAACTTTTTATAAAGTTATGATAATAAATTGGAAGTAGGCACATTTATAAAAATTAAAATGCTAACGGATTTAGGAATACTATCACAAAACTTTTATTTAAGAGCAAAAAAGGATATGAGCATAGAAAATTATGATAAAAGTTTAATAACTTAAACAATAACAGAGAAAACTAGGTTTTAAACAAATATAACTTGATTATTTTGTATCAATTAGATAATGTATACTTGTTTGATATTATGGGTATGTGAAATTCCCCATTGTTATGTGGTATTTAAGTCAAATAATATATTCACATATTATGTTAACACCAGGCAATATTTGAAATGAAAAGAAAATTGTTTCCCAAAAGCAAAGACAAAACAGGGAAAAATAACATTTAAAAAAGCCAATAATTAGGTAGAAAAAAATATTCCGGAATATTTAATAAACACACCTGATGTTTATTTCACTTTGAAACACTGTTATCGGTAAAAAGATTTTCGAGTTTCCACTCAAATAACTTTGGGAAATTTACCTAATCGAGATTAAACATACATATCAAATGAGACTGGTAACTTCTTTGCCGCACCCAGGCCTGCTTCCTTAATGTGCGAGAGCGCGGGGGGCCATGTTTTTTCCGTGCCATCTTGACACAACTACAAGTGCATTGTTAATTTCGTTATCGGCCAGCGTTTTTAATAGCAACCTCCGGCTCCATGCTCTCCTGTCATTTGAACCTTCGTGCACCACTCCATCACTACTTGAGAAACGGTAGGCGTAAATTTGTGATGCGCTTGGCACAGTCTCGAACCCTGATATCCACCAGGATTTCTTTATTGTTTGTAGGAGTCGACCTGTGACGTGTGCCATGAACCGGTTCCCCTTATCTTCTATGGACTTCCCTGTACTAACGGCAAAATTTTTCCACGTCATCTGTGATCACTTCGTCTGCGGTAGGCAAAGGTCCACTTTCTCCCCGGGAAACGGAGTTGCTTTTCGTAAATAAAATTTTCACCCTTGATTTTTGACTCGATACTGCGTTCCGCAATTCTTTTGAACTTCTAAGTTGCTTTCTCTTCTTGGATCTCCTCCGGGTGTGTTGCTACTCTTATAACTGATTCTTTTTCTTTCAAGACTTTAATATGCTTCATCACAAGGTCTTTTTGTGTCTTATCACTGAATTGTACACAGATGGGGTTTGGGAATTTCTTTGTACATCATTCCCCCCTGCGGAAAAGTTTGTTTATTCGGAGTTCGTTAATTGGCCCCTTTCCCTCTCCATTTCAGATATGAAAACATTTCTAAAAATTTAAAATTTGGGACTTTCTCTACCCTTTTTTCCCCCAACCCACTGATAAAAATTTGTTCCCATTGATCTTGATTTAGGTCGATAAATAAATATATTTTATAAACTGTAAACTGATAAAGGAGTGTTATCTGTGTTTTACAGGGGAAGTATAGACGACGACCCCAAAACAATCTATGCAACAGTTGATCCCCAGAAGACACACCCATTCCTAGCTACTTGTATGTTGTTACATGTATATTACAAAAACTAAAGATATTAAACATTTTGTTAAAGTGTATGTTTACAATCAGCTGCTTAATACTGTACAATCACACATTTTCGTGGGGTCAGATTTTCGTGGTTATAATAATCTCTTGGTTTGTGGGGATTTGATTTTGTGGATCAAGAATTATTGAGTAGTTATGTATGTAACATTTTACATTTCATGGTGGACATGAATTCGTGGGTCTCGTCATACCTTGAAAACAACGAAAATTAAACCCCACGAAAAATTGTGATTTCACAGTATATAAGTATATTGTGTGTTGTTAACTCTTTACTTACAGTTGTAGCCGTACGGTATATCCTACACCGTTACTCTGTAATACAATCAGCTGATTGGTATATTGTGTGTTGTTAACTCTTTACTTACAGTTGTAGCCGTACGGTATATCCTACACCGCTACTCTGATGGGACAGCAGGGAGTAAAACTAAAATCTTAGAGAATGTCGTGTCATTTGGACATCAGGAAAAATTCCTCTATGCCTCAATTTATTCACCACAAGTAGTAAGTACCTAAAGTCAATACTAAGTGAAATTTTAACAATGAAGAAGGGGATAAAGTTTTGACAAATTTTCATTTGTCTTGGTGCAGATTCTGTCTTTGGAGATTTAACATTGAATGTTATTTTTGAATTATTGAATATTTATAATGAGATTGTCAGGATTTTTAATCTCATTAATATTTTGTAGAGAGGGAATAGACTGATAAAAATATCGACCAATCAAGGCAAAACTTGGCATACAGCTCAGCTTCCAACCATCACAGGAGATAGGGTGAGATCATGTTCATACAAACAGAAATGGAGTTACTGAGTTCTCATTGACTGATAGAAACTGGAGCTAATATTTATCAAACTTACAGAAATAGGACACCTTTTATTTTTTCTGATACATGTTTGAGTTTTAGTATACGTTTTGGTTTAATTGAAAGGTAGAAAATGATTTTCATTTTGTGTAAATCTAATAACCTTCTCTTCAGGATTTATTATTTAATGGAGTCCATTTACTCTTTTGTCTGATTTCAGTTTTTCTCTGTTCTGGACATGAATGAGAAGTTGGTGTTCATGCATGTGGATAACCCAGGAGGTAAGCAGGGTTCACCACTGAGGCCAATGTCTTTTGTAATCCTTAGGAATTAACACAGAAAAAAAAAATTATACATAAGATCAATTTTAGTTGAAATGTATATTAAAGTATTACTTTTAATTGACACTTCAGTCTGTAGCTGTCAGATTCATGACTCATTTTTCCTCCAGGATCTGGGGATGCTTAAATTAGTCTCCAGAAGCACCATAAAAAAGCTAGTTCATCAAGTTGATTTCAGTTATGAGTTTTAGTCTGTTTTGAATGGTCATAACTTGTATCTTAAGAGGCACTTTAATAATTTTATCAAGATAATGTTTACCTTAAAATATGTTTAGAGATCAATAACCTTAATTGTTCAAAATTACCAGTAGTACTACAGGAATTTGCTTTTCGGGACGTCATTGTTTTTCGCAAATTTGTATAATTATTTCCACTTTTAATTTTGAGACAGACCTTGACATGAGTTAATTCTGACTGTTTATTTGTAGATACAGGACACGGGACACTGTATACGTCTGGAGCCCTGGGGGTCGTTTACTCCGAGTCCCTGCCTAAACACCTGTACCCTAACTATGGGGATGTAACGGACTTCTACCGCGTGGAGTCGATGCGGGGGGTCTACATCACCAGTCAGATTAATGAGGATAACAGCATCCACAGCATGATCAGTTATAACCGCGGGGCCATGTGGCAGAAACTGCCCCGCCCTAACAATGCCCCGTGTAAGGACGAGAAAAAGGTCAGTCTGCTGACATCTGATTGGTTCAGATCTTTGTCAATCTAATCAAAATTTGATGTCAGATCCACTGACATACTCGCTACACTAACATCTAACAACATCTTAAAGAGGGTCACGTCAGAGGTCAAATTCTACCAGCCAATAAAATCACTGCCTGCAAAATCATTGTATATACTGTATAAGTGGAAATTTTAGCGAGACACAAATTTAGGAATTTGTCCTTAAAAACTGGTAATTTATTTTTAGAGAGATGTTAATTAAGTGATTTTAAAATGCTCATTAAAGTAGGTATTAGAAATAAAACGCAATTAATTTTTAGCATTATTCAATTTTAGCGATCTCGGCACCCTTGCTAATAATGCCAAAACTAAATCCTCGCTAAAAATTCTACTTATTCGGTATGTTGAAGTGAATAAATCAATGTTTTAGTAGTGAGTATGCAAGTGTATCTAACATCTGATTTTAGTTAGATTGCAATTGGATCTTTGTTGTTGCTGTGAATTATTCAACATCAGACTTATTTTATATAGATACTTGTTATGAACCTTAGCTCTGTTCAGATAAAGATAGCACTTAGTGAGATAAGCTTTCTGTTATCATCTCTTTTGACCTGAGATACTGATCTCATTTTCCAATCCTCGTTTGACCCCTGGTGACCTGAGATGTTTATCCTCCATTTCAGCCCTGTCACCTCCAGATACACGGGACGTACAGCATTCAGAGGGGGGTCATCGCCAGTCCCCCACTCAGCACAAAGGCAGCCCCAGGGATAGTTCTTGTTCATGGTGAGTACATGTGTACTAAACCAGTCCCCTACTCAGCACAAAGGCAGCCCCAGGGATAGTTCTTGTGTATATGAAACTACATGTATTTAAAATTCACCAGCTTATCATTCAAACATGGAATTGATTACATATATATAGAGTGTAAAGCCACATCTTTGCTGACTTTGATGTATGTTTAAATTTACCTATAGATGACATTCTATAATTAAATTTATTTGTAATAATTTATGATTGTTAAACATGTCTGTATAATGTCAAGTGTCTACTTTAACAAGAAGAATTTTGTCAGATTAGTATAACGTTGTGACCAGTAAGTTTCAGTAGTGTTTATGTAGACTCAGTTTTATGACTTTCTATAACTAGGTCACGTGGCAGATGCCCTACAGACAACTCACCCTGATGTGTACGTCACCAGTGACGGGGGTTACACATGGGCCAAGGTAGGATGTAAGATTGAAAAAAAAATCTGAGATAGAGCCCCACAGGTATTTTTATAAATATGTTTTAAATTTAATGTTAAGTATTTTTGATTATTTAGTGCATCTTTCCATCACAGCATAATAATAAAATAGTTCTTATAATTAGAATTTTTATTTTAAAAAATGATTATCCCCATAAACTTGAGTGCAATCTTTGTTGATTAATTACTGCTTAGTTAATGACATTTGTGAAAACGTCTCTTGAGAATTTTTTTTCTACTGTAAACATGGTAAAATGCTTTGAATTCTTTTCTAATTATTTTCAGGCATTGACTGGTCCCCACCATTACCAGATAGCTGACAGTGGGGGTTTACTGGTGGCCGTCTCCGTAGACAATCCCCAGCCGACGACAATCAAGTTCTCCGTGGACGAGGGTCAGTGTTGGCACGAGTACAAGTTCGTACAGAACCCGGACGAGGAGATCGTAATGACAGGACTGCTGACAGAGCCTGGGAACCAGGCCCTCTCTGTGGGGGTGTGGGGATACCACCCAAAGAACAAGACATGGACTGCATTCATCATTGACTTCTCCAAGGTCATCAAACGCCAGTGTAAGTGGTGAAGCTTGGGAGAATTATTCAACATTTAACATTTAGTTTTAAAAGAAAAATTCTACTAGGTTCTTATAGTCCAACACAATACTTTTGGTTGAAATATTCCATATTGCTGGAGAGTACTGCACCAAAAATAATACAAGGTCATCAGAACTCAGAGACGGTTGTGTTCCCTGGGAGTGTTCATAGTAATCCCACACAGTACTGTTACAGTAGATTTAAAATTTATACATGTGGAATTAAATATCGCGTGCTTTCACGAGAAGCAACACACACAAAATAAAATGACTCGCCTTTATTTTTATGGTGCTGATATCTATCTAAAATCTCTTGACCAACTGTCCATCGCAAATTATTATTCTCGTGATTTGACATTGAAGAGCTTGTTCGCGATAATAAGTACTCTCTAAAAATATCAGTACTTTTGAGTACAGTATATTTGATATTGCTATAGAGTACTTCATAGAAATTTGGTTTGTGTTCCTTCATTGTAAACTATCTAGTCTATTGTTTTCCCCCCATGGTACAGTTTCACTAACACTAATATCATTTGTAAGTCTTAAATCTACAACAAATATGCAGTCATTGTGTCAGTTTTGGGGGATGAAAATGATGAAATGTTTATCGGGTACTTAAGTGTGTCTAAACCTTCCTGTTACTATTTTACATGTCAAGGCTTCATCATTTTCCCCATTGCCAGCTATGCCCCTGTAGCTAGTTTATAAAAAAATGTTTCAGTAAAATTAGTCATCATATTTGCACTTCATGCATGTATTTCTCAATTATAATTTTTTTTTTTCTGTGAACGAAATGTCTTAGATAGTCACCATTTTGCTAATTCATGCATGTATTTCTTGATTATAACAAATGTTTCAGTGATCTAAATGTCTAAGATAGTCATCATTTTGCTATTCATGCAAGCCATGTATTTCTTGATTATAGCAAATTTTTCAGTGATCTAAATGTCTAAGATAGTCATCATTTTGCTATTCATGCAAGCCATGTATTTCTTGATTATAGCAAATTTTTCAGTGATCTAAATGTCTAAGATAGTCATCATGATCTAAATGTCCCTTTACTCTAGGTGGGTCAGATGACTACAAGATATGGGTCCCCCACTCCACACTCCGAGCCAATGAAGAGGCGGACGTAAAGGGTTGTCTACTGGGGATGAAAGAAGAATTCAAAAGGATCGGGAAGGACAGCTGGTAAGTCAGGACTAGGTCTGCTGGGATGAGGGAAGATCTTACAGGATAAGAAAGGACAGCTGGTAAGTGAGAACTAGGTCTGCTGGGGATGAGGGAAGATCTCAAAAGGATCAGAAAGGACAGCTGGTAAGTCAGAACTAGGTCTGCTGGGGATGAGGGAAGATCTCAAAAGAATAAGTCAGAACTACGTCTGCTGGGGATGAGGGAAGATCTCAAAAGGATTCAAAAGGACAGCTGGTAAGTCAGAATCCTGAACTTTGGATGATTATAAATAGGTCAAGGACACAGCAGACTTATCTGGTAAATCTAAGCCTCTAATTTAGTAACTGCAGCATGTTTAAACTTTTAAAAAAAAATCAATTGCTCCAACAAAGGACAAATTCATTTACTTCTGGAGAAGTCCAAAAAGTCAGGACTTGAACTCTTGTTAAAATCAGGTAGGTCAGGCCCCAAGACTATAAACTGAGAACAGACTTAAGCCAAAATTTCAAATTGATATATCTTTAGAAAAAATTTTGAAAATGAAATAAAATTTTCATCATATGTTTGAATTGAAGAGTTTTGGGCAATAATATTGCAAATTATTAAGCTAATACATTGAATGAAACTTAAGATAACAAAATTTTGACTTAAGTCTGTTCTCAGTTTATGGTCTTTGGGCCAGGACTGGTCAAGGTCAGATTGATTAAGAATTATCATTTATTAACTTAATAAATTTAAAGAGTTAAAAAAAAACTAAGGTTAAGCCAGACCTATAGATAAATTTGTTTTGTTTTCATTCTCGGAATACAAAGCTTGTTAGTACATGTACATTTGAAAAAAGCTTTTTAAGTCACCTGAGTAAACTCAGGTGACCTATTGGTATCTGTTTTCGTCCGTCGTCGTGCGTTGTGCGTTGTCCGTTAACATTTGAACATTTTCAGCTTCTTCTCTGCAACCACTGATCAATTTCAACCAAATTTGGCACAAAGCATCTATTGGTGAAGGGGAACAAAAATTGTGAATTTCATGATCCCTGCCCCCCTGGGGCCTGAGGGGTGGGGCCAAAACCACTAAAATTAATGCAATCTTTAAAAATCTTCTTCTTTACTCGACATCAAGTAGTTAAACTGTTTGCATGATTGTAACCAGCAATGAGTCCTCTACCAAAATTGTGAAATTCATGGCCCTGGGGTCAGGGGTTCTAGTGCTAGGGAGGGGCTAAATAAGTAGGTAGTGAAAATGCATTATTTCTTTGAAAATCTTCTTCTCTGCTCCTGGGTATTAAATAAACCAACTAAGTACATAGTTATGATTAGAATGAGTGCCTCTAACAAAATTGTGAATTTTATGGCCCCAGGGTCAGGGGTTCTGGTGTTAGGGCGGGGCTCTATTGATTATGTAGTGAAAATACATGAATTCTTTGAAAATCTTCTTCTCCGCTCCTGGGTATTAAATAAACTAACTAGGTACATAGTTATGATGAGGAAGAGTGCCTCTACCAAAATTGTGAATTTTATGGCCCCAGGGTCAGGGGTTCTTGTTTTAGGGTGGGGCTCTAATGATTATATAGTGAAATGCATGATTTCTTTGAACATCTTATCCTTTGCTCCTGGTTAATATGCTAATGATCTAATTACATATTTAAGGCCAGGATTTTTTTTATTTTATTTTCAGTTTTACAAACCCTCCGCTCAAGATTTTGAGTTTTCAGAAAAAAATAAAAAAAAATTTCTTTCCAATGTCAAATTTGAGTCGGGATCGAGATTTCAAATTTACGAACTCGCACTTCCGGTTTTACGATGAAATGGCGGGTAAATAAAGCTGAGAAGATAGCTTGGTTTAGTGTAAAATTCATCGATAAGAGTGCCATTCAAAACGTTTCACCTGTTCAAAGGACAAATAAAATGCTGACGACTTTGTTGCACAATATCATGCTGGTGAGATAATTATGTATTCGTTTCAAAAGTAACTGTCTGTAAATTATTTTCCTCCCCCAGGTTTTAAACTGCCCGTGGTAGCTATTGCATATTGCCAGCGACATTGTTTAGGTCTCTGTTATAGCTTACAGTCTAAGCATCATTCTTCAGAAAAGGGTTACTCATGCATCAGATGTAATGAATATAATGAATAAAAAGTATGGGAGAAGTTAAGTCCATTTGAGGAAGAAATAAACAATAACCTGAAGAAATAAAAAAAAAATTCGACTATTAAAAGGCAAGAATATACAAATATATACAGGCATGTAGTATCATTTGTATCAGCCAGAAAAATTATTTTACACTTAATTGAAAAAATGTTCACCCTACTCCCCAATACTCCCTGTCTGTTTTATGATAGGAATTATAATTTTAGAGATCAAGTAAATTTTAGAACAATGTCTACACATTCACCTAACACATATTAAAAAAATGAAGATATATTGAAAGACTTCTAAAGAATTGATTTTTTAAAATATATTTTGATCAACATCACAAAATTTATATAACTGGCCCAAACTGGCAGATGATGAAATAAGCAATTAAATGTTCTACTTTCCTATTTGTAAGCATTATGTGTCCAGTGGTAAGGAGCCTATTAGGATAGCATGAAAAAAGATTGTACAAATGTTAATAATTGATTTATCAAAAAAAAATTTATTTCCTTCTCCTTTGGGACTTTTTTATTCTCATGTTCAGAACTAAACCTAAACATTAAAAAAAAATGCTGGCCTTATAATGAAGAAAGGGGCCTCTTTCAAAATAGATAATTTCAGGGCTGCTGGGTCAGGGGTACCAGGGAAGTACTTTGACAAAAAATATATTAATGCTTTAAAATTTGCCCTTTGATAAGCAATGGTGCCTCTTTCAAAATCTGTGAATTTCATGGCTTTTGGATTAAAACACGAACCAATTACAATCGCTGGAAAGTTGTTACATGATACTCAGGTGACCTATAAGGCCCGTGGGCCTCTTGTTTATCTTTAAATTGATAAATTTTAATGCTTTAGATCTCTGACATAAAAATGGAGCTGCTCTTGGCCCTTGGTTGTCAAGATCTTGAAAGAAACCAGTAATAAATTCAAAAAATTTGTTTTTCCTCAGGTGCCACAATGGGTATAATTATACAATAGAGAAGAAAACAAAAAATTGTATGTGTACTCGCGAGGATTACGAATGGTGAGAATTTCTAGATGAAACATTTCATTGCTGCAGTGTTTATTTAATAAGATTTTGATTTTGAAGTTTCTTTGGAATATGTCATAAAGTTTATAATATGAGAAAATATAGTAAAATCTCAATAGCATCAAAGTAGATTTTATTATATTAAGCTATAAGTAAACTTCATCTTAATTAATCGACACTTTCAAAGTTCTTCGACAATTTGCTTTGAGTAACTATACAAAAAATCTCAAGACCTTTCTCTGATTTTTACAATGTTTACAGTAACAAGCAATGTTGATTTTTCTTCTGATCACAGTGATTATGGATACCTGAGAGGTGCGGGCTCAGACATCTGTCAAAAAGACCGCTCGTTTGTAAAACCAGACATTGACATTTGTCTGAGAGGCCACGAAGAGAAAATTGTTACGGAGGGGTAAGTGTAAAACCAGACATTGTCATTTGTTTGAGGGGTAGGTGTCATTTGTTTGAGGGGTAGGTGTAAAACCAGACATTGACATTTGTCTCAGGGTTTGTGTAAAACCAGACATTGACATTTGTTTGAGGGTATGTGTAAATCCAAAATTTGTCGAATGGGCCATAAAGAAAAAAAAATTACTGATGGATAAATTTGAGGTTTGTAATAAATGATCATGTGTCCAAATGAATCTATTAATTAGTACTTACTGAAAGCATGAACACTTTCTCAGTAACAGTAACTACTTGATATTGGTTAAGTTTATAAGGTTTCTAGGCAAAAAAAAACCATGGATAAGGAGATTTTTCTTTGCTAAAACCAGTGTCCCCTGAATATTAACAGATACAGGAAGATCCCAGGAGATGTGTGTGTGGGAGGGTTTTCTCCATCGGGGCGACAGATAGACATGTCCATACAATGCTCCGAGGATTCCAAAGAACTTGTACTGGAGGAAATTACCTACAAGAAGGTACATGTATTACGTGATGGTAGGGTACATAACAGTGACCAGTATAGGTTAGGTAATGCAAAGTTAATTCCTTGGTTTTTCAGGCCATTTTTTAAAAAAATGACGAGGGAGGGCAGCATTTTAAGAAAACTTTTTTATTGCCCGCAAAACATGCTGAGGCAGCTTTTTACATTGGAAAATACCTCAAAAATGTTGAGGGAGGTGATTTGTTGTTTTTATCATATTGATTTAGCAGTAAAAAGGGTCAATGAGGCACCCTTGGAAGAGATGAGGGAGGGCCTGAGAACCAAGAAGTTAATTTTTGTGGCCTTAGGCTAAATATACAGGTATACAGTGGACCCTCATTTATCCGGACGCTTTGATTCCCAGTCCATTTGTCCAGATATGTTAAGCATCCGGATATCTGAATCACCAATTAAACAAGACAACACAGCATTTAAAAATTTCGTTCCGATGAAAAATCGTCCGGATACTGAAGCATCCGGATATCTGGCGTCCGGATATCTGAAGGTCCACTGTACTATAAAGGCATTATAAGGAAGGGAAAACTCAATAGAGGGTGACAAAGAAAAAAACAAAACAGAGGAGAGAGAAATTGCACCCCAAAAGCAATAGAAAAAAGATTTTTTTTTTGCATGACTTTTATTTGCCTGACCCCTTTTGGACACTGTAGATTCAATCCTGTTCCTTATTCACAACAGGTTGTAATTCTGTGGCACATTAAACACGAGTATGTTAAGGAAGCATATAAATCATTTCTTGGGAAATTAAGACTTTTAAAAGAAAATTTAATTAGATAATTTACCAAAACCACTGATGAACGTAAACTTTGGTTGACTATTGCCTAAAGATAAAAAAGCATCTAACGAATGACGTGCGCCACCACCACGGCATCCCGTGACTTCTATTAATAGCGAAATGTTCCTTAATAAAAAAATAACAGAACAACAATACCCGGAGTTTAATAACTTCTATGAGTAAATAATTTAGTTGAAAAACATCTATTTTGCCTAAAAAGTGCTGTTAGAATCCCACTGTCCTGTTAGTAAAATAATTATAACACACATTCGCACGAAACCTTGCCCTACGTTTTGTATTTTACACATATGAACCGAGAATTTTCGTAAAACCATGCTTAACTTGGGATTCTAGCAGCACTTTCAAAGTATTTTAGAAGGCTAACTTTCCATCTGTACAAATCTTATGTTTTGAAATATCCAGCTTATTGTTGTTCTATGGCATTGTTTTTGTCACGAATGACCGAGGAAAGGCCAACTAGGATACTGTCTTCGAAAGAGAATATAATTAATGAAAATAAATTAGCATACCTGTTTATTTAACTGGACTCCATATGATTTTCACAGGATATTCCCGATATATGCTTTTAAACTCCATTTTACGTATCTTTGTACATGCCGTATAAGCCAAATTCTCTTTACACTACATGATCAAATCCCAAGTTACTTGAAGTAAACCTATGACGTCATCGTTGTTAGATTTTCATCAAATTGACAGATACAGCAAATCAAAATAAAAACATCTTTTTTTTGTTAATTTTTACACGATTCAATTTATTTCTTAGAGTTAATTTACATCTCTAAATACCAATACTACGAAAACCTGTGTTTTAAAATTGACGTCATCTCACCCACTATGACTTCATAATGTTTCACTGACTTAGTCAAGGTAGAATATTCTGTATGCTTCCTTATCACCCCTGCCAACTTAAAAATTTTTAATCCAGAGTTTATAACAGATAACACTGACATTTTTTTTATGCTTTTATCTCAAAGAGACAAAAATGTTTTAAAGATTATTTTACAATACATTATATTAAATTATATAAATTGATAATTCTAAAATCAGAAAATAATTTTTTTTTTCTCGTATTATTTAGAATGTCATTTTTAGACTTGATTTATAACCTTGGACCTTTGACCTTGTAGGAGTCGGGAGGTCACAATAGCAGTGTGATAGCGGCGGTGGTGATCATTGTCGTGTTGTTAGTTGTTATCATGGGTGTCTTCCTAGTCCACAAATACATAATACTCAGGCGACAGTGAGTATCCACAAATATATAATACTCAGGCGTCAGTGAGTATCCACTAATACATAATACTCAGGCGACAGTGAGTATCCACAAATACATCATACTCAGGTGACAGTGAGTATCCACAAATACATATTACTCAGGCGACAGTGAGTATACAGTGAGTATATAGAGGATATTCAATGTTTTGTTGTTGAATATGGAATTTATTTCACGAGTGGACAGGATTTTTCATATTTTCACGAGTGCAAAGCACGAGAGAAAATATCAAAGAATAATGTCTCATGAGTGAAATAAATTCCATATTCAACAACAAAACATTGAATTTTCTGTTTATTACATTTTAAAAAAAAAATTCTTTGATTTTTTCTTTGCTTCTGTCTTTTTGTAATACAGTCATAGGCTCGTGACATCATAGTTGAGCGGTTGAGACGTCATAGCTATGTGAAGTGAAAACACTGTAAACATGGATTTAGCAACATAATTTGGTAAATTTGACAATTTTTTTTTTTTGCTATCAGAATGGTTTATTTATTTCCAACTATCTTATATTAGGTCAAGGAAGATTTTTTTACAGCAATCTCCGTTATGGGAAGAGAAGTCGAGAGTTTCCCGCACTTCTAATATTCGTCACACTGTGACAGGATATCATTTTGATATCCTTTCACACTGTGACAGGATATCATTTTTATTCAGTGAATAAATTACAGTATTTCATGGGTAAAAATGTAATAAACACAAATACATAATACTCCGGCGACAGTGAGTATACACAAATACATAATACTCAGGCAACAGTGAGTATCCACAAATACATAATACAGTGGATCCCGTTTAATCCAATAGTAAGTTTGTCACCTTCTGGTATCAGAATAGCTGAATATTCGAATAGCCGGTTGCTCCATTTCGAGTCCAAACAAAGATTTATAGAGCTACATGTATTGACAATACATCGTAGCCAATTTTAAACTTCTTATAAATTAATGTGATTACATTTTTCAAATAAAATGATCTATAAAAATTGTTTTTTAAAAGTTATTGCCATTTTTAATCAGCACGTTTACATCCCTTCTTCGATGGCCGCCATTTTGGAAACGGAAGTAGACTAAATGCTTGACTTTATTCCGTAATTTATTTTTCCCCGGATAAATGGTACATCAAAATTAAACAAAAATATGAAATTGATTTGTTTTATTTGTTTCTTTAATATGGTTATGTATTTCATACTGTTTGTGACAATTCTCAAGTAAATAGTCCTGTAACTATGATGCATTTCAATGTCCCAGCAAATTGTCATACACAAGCTAATACATTCAATAATTAAAATCTAACTTTGGAAAAAATTGCAAACAATTATCATAATTATCAAGTACATCACTGAAAAGTAATTTAAACCCAAACTAATCATCATAACTGTATCAAAACATATCAATCTTGTGTGCCAGTTATTAACACAGGTAAGGTGATTGTGTGCGTTCAGCCGTAACTAATCCCCTCATTATCATACTCAAGGTGTCAGACTGTAAACAAGGGCTTCACTAAGGAAGTAAGAGGTGTGAACAAGGTCACAATTATCAAAAAATACTACAATGGTCCAAATTTTTGTATCAGATTAAAGGAAATTCTGATATTTTCTCATCAGATTATCAGAAGAAATTATATGTGCTCTAATATTATATTGAAATAGCCGAAATATTCGTTTAAACGTTATCTGATTAAGTGGAAAGTACTGCTACTCGGGCGACAGTGAGTATCCACAAATACATAATACTCCGGCGACAGTGAGTATCCACAAATACATCATACTCGGGCAACTGTGAGTATCCACAAATACATAATACTCGGGCGACAGTGAGTATCCACAAATACATAATACTCAGGCGACAGTGAGTATCCACAAATACATAATACTCGGGCGACAGTGAGTATCCACAACTACATAATACTCGGGCGACAGTGAGTATACACAAATACATCATACTCAGGCGACAGTGAGTATCCACAAATACATAATACTCAGGCGACAGTGAGTATACATAAAATAATACAGAATACTGTAAAATCACAAATTTTTGAGGTTTGAGGAAAAATATTGGTTTGTGGGGATTTGATTTCGTGGTTGGGAATTTTAGTAAATAATCATATGAAATTTTACATTTC